ATCAGTGTTTGATTTCCTCTCCCCTTCTTAGGAAGTCCTATCTAATTCTCAACATTGGGAGTAGAGGAATGTGTGTGTGTGTGTGTGTGTGTGTGTGTGTGTGTGTATGTTTTTTTTTTTAATTGAAGTATAGTCAGTTACAATGTGTCAATTTTTGGTGTACAGCATAATGTTTCAGTCATACATACACATACATATATTCATTTCCATATTCTTTTTCATTGTAGGTTATTACAAGTTATTTAATATAGTTCCCTGTTCTATACAGAAGAAATTTGTTTTTTTAATCTATTTTATATATAGAGGTTAGTATATGCATATCTGGAACTACCAATTTATCCCTTCCCACCTCCTTTCCCCTTCCGGTAACCATCAGTTTGTTTACCATGTCTGTGAGTCTGTTTCTGTTTGTAGATAAGTTCATTAGTGTCTTCTTTTTCTTTTCTTTTTTAAAAAATATATTTTGAAACAGTGCCCTGGGGAATTCTGATAGGGACCCCTGCATTCCTTCTCTGCTTTGCACTGGATCTCAAAAAATAAAACAGAACATATCAAAGAGATTGACTCAGGTAGAAGAGCTACTGGAGGGCTCTTCAGGTGAAGGGATTATTTCTGGTGACATATGCAAAAGTGTGAGCTTGGAATGCCTGGGGCAAAGGAGTGCACACAGGGAGTGGTAGGAAATAGGGTAGGGTGATTAAGATGGGCAGTCAAAGAGGAACTGGAATGCTGGGAAAGTTTAAATCTGATGCTGTTTGAAACAGGAAGCTGTTCATATGTTCACTCATTCAGTGACTATCTATTGAGCACCTAACCTGTGCCAGGTACTGTGTTATGTGCTGGGAATACAGCAGAGGACAAAGTAAAGCTTTTCCTTGTTGAGCTTATATTCTGATAGAGGAGGGTGATCAGTTCATCCCAGTTTGCCTGGGACTTTCTAGGTTTTAACATTGAGAGTGCCTTGGCCCAGGAACCTCTTGGGTGAAGCAGAATGGTTGGTTTCCTAGGAGATGGAGTGTGTGTGTGTGTGTAATACGTAGGGGCCATAGAGAAACATGAGGGAGGATATAAGGTTGAAGATAAAGAAAAATGCTTTTTTAGAGAGGGTGGTCAGGGAGGATCTACGAGGACGTGATAAATGAGCAGCAATCTGAACAAAATGAGAGTGAGAGCAAATATCTCAGGGTAGGTTGGCCAGGGATGATTTCTAGCAGATGGATGTACAATGTAAAGGCCCTGAGGTGGAAGCATGCTTGGCATAGATGAAGAACAGCCTTGGCAGAGAGGCTGAGAGGAGGAGTCAGAAGCAGAGAGGGGCCAGAGAGGGTGAGTCCCATCAGGAACACTGGATTATACTGAGTGTGCTGGGAGCCCCTGGAGAGCTGAGAACAGAGGCACCACCTAAGCACTCAGGAGGTGGGGAAAACAAGAGTAGGAACAGGAAGACCACTCAGATTCTTCATTAAGATGTGTCCAGTGACAACGGAAATACCCAACTATAGGAAACTCCTTAAACAGTGATATTTTTGAGTAGCAAAATATCATGCAGCCATTAAATACATTGTTTCTTCATAGTTTAGCCATTACTGGATTGCTGTCATTTCTATTTATTTTTGCTAGTTTAAAAGATAGGTAGTGATACATTAATGTCATTTTAATTTGCATTTTTAACAAACCTCTCCACTTTTCCACATAGTGATTTACTACATTTATAATCAAATGTGCAAACTTTTGGTTCATTCTTCTTAATTATTTATGGTGTACACAGTTGATTTTGACCATACATATTTGAACCTATATATGTGTATCAATTTCTATCAATATATTTTGGATGGGAAGAGCCTATTTAGCTTATATATTGAGCATATGTATTTTTTTCATTCTCTATTTTCCTTTAAATATATATTTTTTGTTCTAGTGTGTTTTGTTTACTTGAACTCATCTATTTTTGTCTCTACCAAAGGCATCCATTAAGTAAAATAGTAGACTGTTGGAGCTTGGAGAAACTTTAATATCATTATTCTTCTTATAGATGAAGAATTTGAGGGTCCAAGAATATGACTTAATGTCACATCTTTGTTATCTTGTCATCTTTGTAGTAGCTAAAAACAAAATTTTTCCTGTAGCTTGGGTGAATAGAATGTTTTCTAGTTTTAAAAAATATCTCAGCTATTCTTCCATAGAATGAGGTTTACTTGAGCCATGTGATATGTAGATTAATGTTTAAACTACTTAAAGCATGAGAAGAAGCATTTGTTTAATACCTTCCACTATGTATTATACTCTGTGTGTGTATGTTTGATCGATGTCTGAGAGCTGTAAGAAAGAAAGCAAAAAAGAACAAAACACACACACACATACACACAGAGAGAAAACCCTGGACTCTTCCTGAAAAGTCTCTTCTACATGTCAGTCCATTTGATCTGATATATGTCTACAATGATGACTATTACAAGGTTTCTCATAACAGTGAAACATTGAATGCCTAATGATTAGGAATTAGTTTAATTATGGTGCTTCCATGTAGTGGAATACTATGATGCATTGGAAAGCATGCTGTAGAAGGATGTTTAATAACATAGAAACATGTAATCCATTGTTAAATTTTTTTAAAAAGTAGACTGTAATTAAAGAAGACCTACATAAATGGAGCTATGTATTAAGTTCATGAATTGGAAAAATGAGATTAAGATATCAATCCTCTTTAAATTAATCTACAGATTCAATGCACTCAATCAGAATCTCAATTACTTTTCTCTTGGGGATGGGAGAAGGTAGTTAAAATTGACAAGCTGTCTCTAAAATGTATATGGAAATGCAAAGGATCTAAAATAGATAAGACAATCTTGAAGAGAAGGAATTATGCTACTATATTAAAATATTAAAATATTTAATATAAAACTACAATAATTAAGATAATGTGGCATTAGTACAGGAATAGATGAACCAATAGAAGAGAGTATAGAGTCCAGAAACAGACTCACACATGTATGGTTGGGGAAGAATGGTCTTTTCAGTAAATGATTCTGGAGCACCTGGATAGTCTTATGAAAAAAAATAATAATGAGCTTGGACCTCTATTTCATGCCATACACAAAAACTTAATTTGAGATGAATCACAAACTTAAATGGTAAAACAACAGAGCTTCCAAATAAAATATTCTCTTCCAAAGAAGGGAATATCTTCATGACCTTAGGGCTGTCAAGTATGTCTTAAATTGACTTAGCAATTCCACTCCTAGGTATATACCCAACAGAAATGGGTACATATGGCCACTAAAAGACATGAACAAAATGTTTGTGACAGTTTTATTTTTAATAACCAAAATTTGGAAACAAGCTAAATATCCCTCAACAGGAGAATTGATATATAAACTGTATTCACGTGATGATATTTTACTCCACAAAAACGGACAGAAAGCCAATCTACTGCTACATGTGACAACATGCATGAATCACAGACATTATAATGAATGGAAAATGGAAAACATAAAAAGTATATACTATATGATTCCATTTATATGAAATTCAAAAACAGGTAAAACTAATCAAAAATGATAAAAGTCAGGATAAGATTTACATGTGGGGCATAGGGATATTGACTGGGAAGGGGCAAGAAGTTTCTTGGGTATTGGAATGTCCTTTATTTTGATCTAGGTTTGGGTTAGACAAGTATATACTTACATAATATATCAAAATGTATATTTATGATTAGTAAAATTTACTATATATATAATGCTATATATATTACATATTATACCTCAATATCCTAAAATTAAAGGAAATTTAAATTTTCTTCTTTTTGCTATATGTTCTAAATATTCTCACCTTTTTCCCAGCTATATTTTCAAAATAGTCTAAAATGAAGGCATGGTAAATTGTAACGAGAGAAAAATAGAAGTTATTATTTTTAAAAGCTAGAATGGAATCTCAGCTACCTATCCAGATTTAGTGCCCTGAGTCCTGGACCCAGCTAAAAATAGTTCAGAGTCTTGCCAGCTGGTGACCTGGGAACTGGGCTATGTTTAGCAGAAATCAGCACGTGAGTGAAATGGGGTAGAGCCAAGTGGAGCACTGTGGATCTGGTAGGCATGGATCTCTGTCAGCAAGCTGTTTAAGCCATGCTTGTCATCAGTATCTCAGGCTGTTCCCCTCACTGCAAGCCAGGGAGTCGTGTAGGCTCACAGTTTACTGGTGAGTGAAAATGAGAGGGAGGAAGAAGAATCCATGTTGATTAGAAAGGGAGCGGTCCAGCACTGGGAAACAGGTTGGACATAAAGGAAGTCAGAGTAGCTAAGTCCTGGCTAAACCCAGGGTATACCATCCTTTTTTCTTCACCAGGTTAGAGTTAATTTTTGTTTTTACAAAAATTTATTCATTTTTCAACAACTCAATTTTATTTTATCTTTTCAAAATTGAAATATAATTGATTTACAATATTGTGTTAGTTTCCAGTGATTCAGCTTTATATATCTATTTTTCAGATTATTTTCCATTATTGGTTATTACAAGATATTAAATATTGTTCCCTGCATTACACAGTAAATCCTTGTTGCTTATCTATCTTATGTATAGTAATTTGTATCTGTTAATCCATACTCCTAATTTATCCCTCCTTTTCTTCCCTTTCCCCTTTGGTAACCATAAACTTGTTTTCTATGTCCATGAATCTATTTCTATTTTGTATATAGATTCATCTGTATTGTTTTTTTAGATTCCACATGTAAGTGGTATTTGTCTTTCTCTGACTTACTTCACTTGTATGATCATCTCTAGGTCCATCCATGTTGCTGCAAATGGCATTATTTCATTCTTTTTAATGACTGCGTAATAGTCCATTGTATGTATGTGTATATGTATATACATCTATCACATTTCTTAAACCAGTCATCTGTTGATGGACATTTAGGTTGTTTCCATGTCTTGGCTATTGTAAATAGTGCCACTATGAACATTGGGGAGCATGTGTCTTTTTGAATTAAAAATTTTGTCTTTTCCAGATATATGCCCAGGAGTGGAATTGCTAGAACATATGGTAAGTCTATTTTTAGTTTTTTTAAGAAACCTCTATACTGTTCTCCATGGTGGCTCACCAATTTACATTCCAATCAACAGTGTAAGAGGGTTCCCTTTTCTTTACACCCCTCCAACATTTATTATTTGTAGACTTTTTGATGATAGCTTTTCTGACCAGTGTGAGGTGATACCTCTTTGTGGTTTTGATTTGCATTTCTCTAATAATTAGTGATGCTGAAGATCTTTTCATATCTGTTGGCCATTTGTATGACTTCTTTGGAGAAACATCTTTTCAGGTCTTCTGCCCATTTTTTGATTGGGTTGTTTGTTTCTTTGATAATTGAGTTGTATGAGCCATTTGTATATTTTGGAAATTAACCCCTTGTCTGTTGCATCTTTTGCGAGTATTTTCTCCCATTCTGTAAGTTGTTTTTCATTTTGTTGATGGTTTCCTTTGCTGTGCAAAAACGTTTTAAGTTTTTGGTTTTTTTTTTTTTTGAATAAAGTTAGATTTATTTAGAGAGATACATACACCATAGAGTGCAGGCTATTTCAGAAGGCAAGAGAAGGGCCACAAGGTGTGGGATTGGGTGCTTAGTTTAAAGTAAAAGTAGTTACACATTCCATAGACAGAGTGTGGGCCATCTTACTCAGGAGGGAGAGTGGCCATGAGGTGTGGAGTTTGTTAATTTTTATGGGCTTGGTAACTTCATATGTTAACAAGTGGGAGGATTATTCCAGCTACTTTTGGGAAAGGGCTGGGATTCCCAGGAATTGGGCCACCACCCACTTTTTGACCTTTTATGGTTAGCCTTAAAACTGTCATGGTGCCTATGGGAGTGCCATTTACCTTGCTAATATATTACAATGAGTAATAATAATAATAATAATAAAGCTCAAAGTCTACAGGAAGTCAAATCTCCAGGCATCTTGGGCCTCAAGGCCTACTGAGAGTTGAATTTTCTGCCACCTTAGTGTTAATTGCAGTTATTTCTTGAATGGCTGTGCTCTGCCCCCTTCCTTCCTGTCTCATTAAAAACTTTTAAGTTTAATTAAGTCCCATTTGTTTATTTTTGCTTTTGTTTCTTTTGCCTTGGGAGACTGATCTAAGAAAACATTCCTATGATTTGTGTCTGAGAATATTTTGTCTAGGAGCTTTATGGCTCCATGTACATTTAAGTCTTTAAACCATTATGAGTTTATTTTTGTATATGGTGTGAAGGTGTGTTCTAACTTCATTGTTTTACATGCAGCTGTCCAGCTTTCCCAACATAAGTTGCTGAAGAGACTGTCTTTTGTCCATTGTATCCTCTCGCCTTCTTTGTTGAAGATTAATTGACTGTAGGTGTGTGGGTATTTTCTGGGCTCTTTATTCTGTTCTGTTGATCTACATGTCTGTTTTTGTGCCAATACCATGATGTTTTGATTACTGTAGCTTCATAGTATTGTCTATAGTCTGGGTAGGTTATGCCTCTAACTTTGTTCTTTTTCCTCAGGAATGCATTGACAATTATGGGCCTTTAATGGTTCCATATAAATTTTAGGATTATTTGTTTTAGTTCTGTAAAAAATGTCCTGGGTAATCTGATAGGAATCACATTAAATCTATAGATTGCTTTGTGTAGTATAACCATTTTAACAATATTAATTCTTTCAGTCCAATAGCATGGGCCATCTTTCCATTTCTTTAAATTTAATCTTCAATTTCCTTTATCAGTATTTTATGGTTTTCAGTGTATAGGTCTTTCACTCCTTGATTAGGTGTATTCCTAGGTGGTTTTTTTAAATGCAATTTTAAATGCTTTTTTTTTTTTTTTACTTCATGATGTTTCATCGTTAGTGTAAAGAAATGGAACAGATTTCTGTACATTATTCTTGTATCCTGCTACCTTGCTGAGTTCATTTATTAGTTCTAATAGTTTTTGTGTGAACTCTTTAGGCTTTTCTTTATAAAATATCATATCATCTACAAAGAATAATCGTTTAACTTCTTCTTTTCCAATTGAATACCTTTTATTTATTTTCCTTGTCTGATTGATGTGGCTAGAACTTCCAGTACTATTACAACTCAATTTTATTTTTTTATTTTATTTTATTATTATTTTTTTAACAACTCAATTTTAAATGTTATACTTAGGGAAACCAGTTGCAGAACTATTTAGATTGCAGTGCTTAAAAGTTCCCTGAATGATTTTACTGCTGAATCAGCCTAACCTTAAAAATTAACTTCACTTACCCTTTTCCTTCTATAATGTGCCCATCTAAACTGCAGGAATGACTAGTGTAATTATCCATGTCATAGGGCGGTTTTAAGGCTTAATTAACAGTTATAACCCACTCTGAAGTATTCAGATGAAGAAAGAGTTAATAGGAGTGGTGCTGTTTCTAGTTCTACTTGCAAACTCTGACAAGTTACCAAACATGGTATATGGTACCGTACTTCCAAATGTATCAGCATGGTACCTCCAAGTTTCCACTTGATTTAGTAAGAATCACCGTTACTCAACCAATGCTAATCAAGAGGACTCTAGTCTACATGGTGTTCATTTTTTAAAGGAAAGTGTAAATGTAAGGGTAATTAACAACAAGTGACCACATTTAAAGAAGTGACTTTAAACAATTAGGTGTGTTGCTGTTGTCTGTACAGAGAACTTTTAGCCTCAAAGTAAGATGCAACCTGGCCTTCAGGACAGGGGCCAGGATGTGCCAAACTCTGAGATCAAAAGTAAGGTTTAAGTCAAGCACTGTGGGTGTTGTAATTTTTCCTAAAAATAAATCCATCCTGCTGCATGATTTGGAAGTGGCTTTGATGCCATGTTTTCCATCCTTAAGAAGCAGAAACCCTGAAATGTCATCCATGAAAAACAATCTGGGAGATGCTACTGAGACTCTGTCAAGGGTATGGTCTCCCTTCCTACAGTAACCAATAAACTTGACTATGCTTGATTAAAGAAAAATAAAATCTGTGTGCAAACTAGAATGTGGTGGACTGAGTAATGACAATGAAGATGATGACAATAATGGTGGTAATAATAATGACAGTAAGCATGTACTGAGGGCTTACTAGGTGCCAGACACTGTTCTAAGGGCTTTACATGTCTGGACTCATTTGATCCCTGCAATAGCCCTAGAAGATAAGATCTATCATTATCCTTTTTTTTTTTAACAGACAAATACTCTAAGGCTTGGAGGAGTTAAGTAACTAACTTGCCAAAGATTTTATAGCTTAGCAGCTAGCAGTGGCTTTCAAAACATTGGTGTGCTTAGAGTTCCCTGGAGAAATAATTTAATTCAATATTCCCAACCCAAGACCATAGATTCTGATTTCAAAGTGTAAGATGGGGCCTGGAAAAATGTATTTTCAATAAATACCTGAAGAATATTTACTGTAGTTGGCTTTCAGACCACCCTTTGAGAATCAGTGGCCCAGTTCTAGAAAAAAGGAGAGGCTTGAAGTAAAAATTTGCCATGTTTCTCCAGCACTGGCCTTCCCTGTCTAGCTCAATAGTAGATCATTTGCCCAGCTGGGACTGTATGTCCTTGCAATGAATAAAGACTGTTTAATGAATATAGCCTTTCAAAACATCCAACTTGATTTGTTCAGCTTCCATATTTAACATTTAACCGTCTGACTTTAATTTGATTTCTTAAATAGATTTTCCTGCCAGGAGAAGACTGTGTGCTAACTAACATGAATTTTAGTTGGTACTCTCATAGGTAATGAATAAATGGCATTATACTTTATTAATTAGTCCATTATAACTCTGATTAATGTGAATTAATTTCCCCAGAGCCAGCTCTTTTCCAAATGAACTGAGAACAATGAGTTTATGAACCTGCAAACTTCAGGGCCAGCATACATTTTGAGGCCTGATTTATCCTTTCCTTAGTATCACTGAGCTGGAAGAAACATTTTGAGACCCAGTATCCTGACACCTCTATCCTTCCAAAAGGGTGAGTTTGTCAAGGTTAATACAACAATTCATAAGAAATCATTTACTTGGATCCTCTCCTTCTGCTCTTGGCTTTTAAACACCTGTGACCTCTGAGATATGGAGGGGCACGGTGATGAATTTTTAACATCCTTGCCCTGTTGCACTTCTCATATATCATTTGTTTGACTTGGAACATGGTATCACCTGGTAAATCTAGAAAAGACTTACAATGAGCTTGGCCAAAGACAATGCTGTGGAGACTGAACCAACCCATATTACACACCCACATTGCCTAATTATGTATTTTTAAAATAGAGCAAAAACACGAGGCAAGGTAAAGCAGTTACAGTTTCCACAGTCCCTCAAAATGAGGCAATCATCAAGGTATTTGTCCCTACATCCATTCCACATCCATGCTCTGGATGGAAGACTTATTCTTATTCCCACTCTTCTCCTTGCTGACCACCCTTCAGTCTTCTTTCTCTTCCTGAGCTCACCAAGCCTGCTCCTCCTTTTGGGCCTTGTCTCAGGCCTCCTCACCTGTAATGGTCTTTACCCTCATTTCCCTATAATTGGCTCCTTCTTGTCAGGTCTTAGCTTAAATATCACTCTTCAGAGAGGCCTTCACTGATGATCCCATCTATTACACTATTCAATTCTGTTTTCTACCAACACTTTCCAAGTGCTGATATTTTTCTTACTTATTTGTTTTTCTAATAGTCTGTCTCCCTTGACTGGAATGTAAGCCCCATTAGGTCAAGAATTACCTGTTGTATCATAATTTCACTGTTACATCTACAGTGCTCCAAACTATGCCTAACACAGGAGAGATGTTTGGGGAGGAAAAAAAGGAAGATGGTGGGGAAAGGTGTTTCTGATCTGAGGCTGATTCTGAAGGTTGGTGGCATCCAACTAGCTGTTTCTTTGCTTACGAGTCAAATATTTGTATCCACCTTCTTTGGAAACAAATCAGAGATCTTAAATATGTTGAGTTTATTGCATAAGACTATTTAACTATTTAGCAGTTAAAAACCAGAGGAGTTACACTGAGAGCCTCTCCTGGGTATTTGTCATCATTAGCTCA